TATATATATATATATATAAAATCATAATTTGAAATCATTTACATGTATTTAATGAGATTATTTTATCTGGTGTTAAAATTTGCTTTATAAACCCAAGAACTCAAGTATGACAAATAAGTAGAACCAGAAAAAATCTGTTAATTGACAAATGCATGTTCATTGATCTGTAGTGGCTTACAATATCAATAATTTTACAGTGAATTTTCAAATCTAATTGCTACCTTAAATATTTTAACAGTTTTCTTAAAGACACCGATGTATTATTCAGAAGGCTGACTCTACTCGTATCACATAATATCCTATATATTTGATATCTTCTTCAGCCTCCGCTAAGGTCAAAAACATATTGTATAGAAGGTAAAAAGGATCCCTTTTCCCTCATGGCTCAGCTTATGCTCACATAAAAACTCTGAAATATGAGTTCCTAAATATTATGTTATTTTAATCTTGCAGCCCAGCAGAAATCCTGGCTCTTTGTGGACGTGAAATTTAATTCACCCAGACTCCTTATTAACATTTCACTCATGCCACAAGTGTGATTATGCCTGTTCTTAACCATCTTTCAGTCTGGTATCCATTTATCTGTCTCATTCCTCTTTTTCCCTGCAAAGAAATCCAACTTTCTGCTCCCCTATCGCACTCTGGGGCTGTGCCGGTGATTAATCAAAGCAGCTAGCTCTGACACACGGCTAAATTGGCTGCTCCAACCTGATATATAACACGGCAACTAAAACAAGCGCGTTCTCTGGAGGATCTCACCTAATGCAGAGATTGTATAGAGACCAGAGCTTAAGGCAAAATAAGTTTCTAAGCCCTTTTACCAATGTAATCTTCTTCAACATTTTATGTGTATTCAGCCATGTTTTGAAATCAGAGAAACTACATAGGTTAAATAAATTTCCTGGCCTCTGTGCAAAAGAATATCCCAAATGTATTTACTAGTGGTTGGGCATTTTGCTATTATTATGTCTGAGAGATTATTGTTTGTTGGTTAGGTGTCAGACGGTAGGGGTAGAGATGGTTGAACAAAGTGAATCATATTATTATTAACAAATCCCAAAGTACTTTAAGACTTTTGTTTAGGGTGTTTTCACAGATAGTTAATTATGACCAAACTTAGAGTCAGTATAAAAAATATCATAACAACAGGCCTCTCTAAAAAAGGTTTGATTAGCATTAATCTGTTATAAAATGGGGTGTTCTTAAAATCATTATCAAATCATCTTATCAACATTTTAAACAGAAGCATGCAACCATATTTGCATTCTATTACAATGGATTCACATGTAGGAGAGGTTCTGCTAAGAGTATGAACCCATTATGTAAGCCATAAAAAGGCTTTAAAGTGAGATGGAAATAAGCACAGGCACCTGTTTCTGTTGAGAACAAAGAATTGCATTTCTAGCAGGGCACATAATGTGAGTGGAAAGCTAGATGTTGCTTTGTGAGAACAAAGTGGGTAAAAAAAAAAAAAAAGAACAAACCTAATATTAAGAGATTAACTTCAGAGCTTTCAATGTTTGTGATATTCAGAAAATGTAAGAGGAAAATGTGACCATCGATTGTGCCCTGTATCGTACCAAGAAAAAAAAAAAATTCTCATACATTCTATAAGTGGGATTGCTCTCATTCAAGGGTATGGATTTGCTAAGCATTCTCCCAAAGAACAAAAACACTGGGATCATTCTGCCCCTTAAGATAATTTTTGATCATCTGTGCATTTTCCAGCATCATGAGAAAAGCAGAAAAATTGCTCTAGGGAGCAAAAACAAAAAGAGAAACAGAAAGTGGAGACAACAGGCTTTCTGTGCCTCTCTTAGAATCGTAGCTAATTAGAGTTGAAAACTTTTACAAATAGTGGCCAGACTTAAGCCCCAGACTTAAGCCGAGAGCGGTCCTATCACGGTAGCCGAGATAACTGTTGAGCATAAATAAAACTGGACCGTGCCAGACACAACCAGACCATGCTGAATCTAGTACTAGTTCGACCTTTGTCGGGTATTAATGACGTTCAGACACAGGTGGCATTTGAAATGATCAGGTTCGTATCGGATTCAGGACCACATAGCCAAGTGGCCTGCTTCGGATTGGAAAAAATCGGATCTGTGTTGTTCAGACTGCCATGAAAAGATCAGATCCAGGTCGCATATGGGCAAAAAAATCGGACTTGGGTCACTTCAGGCTGCAGTGTGAACGTAGCCAAAGAGCACTTGAGCAGAACGCATCATCTCCTTACAGTCAGCTCCCAGTAATTGGCGGTAATGCACATCAGTAAGTTTTTGACCACCCGCCATAAAACAGAAGAAGAGCTGTAAACAACAATCAAAATCTTCTCAACACTATATTTTATAAAATGGCTTCAGAAGAGTGTGAGTGTGGGATGACGAGGAGACTTAGGCTCTTATTGCACTTCTTCAACTGACTCTCGGCAAACAACGAAATATCACAATTATAACCGAACATAACTTCTTCAATCTTACAGACACTGCCATTTTGATATGCTCGATTCCCTCCTTCAATCCTAGCAGTAGTGCCATAGATCACCACTAGTGGGCAAAGAACAATGCTAGCGTGATGTGTAAATGGTCGTAAGGAACCAAGCTCAGCACGTTTAACCGATCCAAGCTCAGTCAGAACTCGTCATTAGTTCACCTTAGTCCCACTCCCTTGATTTCTCCATCCTTACCAGAGCGACCATCCCTTTGGATGTCTACGTGGTGCCACACCCCATCATTGACTTTAGCCTGGGTGGCCTTAACTTTGATTGTTCCAGAGCCCATGTCCAGAAGCAGGTACAGCCCTCCATCCAGCAGCTCCACCGCAAAGAAGTCCACCTTGTTGTTCTTCTGCCCCTTCACATCACGTCGGTTCTGAGGTTTGCCATGGGTGAAGAGTATTAATCCATTGGGCTCTGAAGTGCGGAAGTCAAAGGAGATGGAGCCGACGCGTTTGGTGTTCCACTTCGGCAGGGCGAGAAAGGAGTCAGGGGTCTCGAAATTGATGGGGTCTAGTGTGGGAACATTTTCACACTTGAAAACCACATCGCCCTGGAGTTTCATCTTAGGGTCAACAATGCGGGCCAGGCGGGAGAGCTCCAGACGGATATCGTTGTTCTTGTACACTACCTGAGGATGGAAGAGAAAAAACAAAAGAGAAACTTAAAAAGGTTGAAAGATGCACAGCAAGCAAAGAGAATATTGTCAGTCTCAAGCTTATGTTCCAGTATTTTCCTTTGATAATCTAGTGTGGTCATGAATGAAAATCTAATCTTTCTCAATAAGTGAATTGAACTCCATTTGCAAACTGTGATATCATGGACTCCTGCTCTGGTATTATTGCATGTTGTAGATGCGAGGACAGCTGGATCGATAAAACTAATATCTTCAAGGATTTGTTTGTCTCAATGATTTTCTATTCCAGCTTCAATTTATTCAAGATTGAAAAGGAGATTGTAAACAAATGCAGAAGTGCATTTCTGTTCGATTGAACATCTACTGAGTGAATGAAAAGCAAAAAGTGATGGCTAAATTATTGGTGAGCCATTCATTGCAAAGCCTAAACAGAAAACGAAAAAATGAGAGCTAGAGAATTGAAAGTGAGAGCCCACGGGAGATTCATGACTTTGAGAGAATATTGCTGTTTACTTCCAATTAATTTACACCAACCTGATAATAATTCAGGAAAGAAATCACCATCACATGCAAGTCAAATACAACAAAACACCACAGTAGAAAGAGAGAAAAATAGCATTAAATTGGAATCCACTGATGCAGAAAATGAATTTTTTTTTCTCCTTTTTCTCAGAAAGAAGTCAGGCTTTTTCCGGTATGTAGGGCAGAGTTTGTACAGGAAGCAACAACACTGTTAGTACGAACACAGCTGTCAGCAAACAGATTTTACTGCTGTGGGATTACAGATAATCCTGGAAGATTTGACATTAGATCATCACAGGTGACCCCAGCCATAAGGAGGGCTCATGAACCATGAGGCAAGCAGAGACATTGGAAGAATGGAGGAAGAAGAGGTCAGCAAAATGGAAGGATCTCAAAGATAGAAGCGGGTAATTCATAACAATTTCAAAACTCTTTCTATAGTGACATGTATATGAAATCACCAGTGGAAGGTCAAACGATTTTCTGTTTTTATTTCAGCCACAGAATGGACTTAAACATAGTTCACAGTTTTCCAGGGTTTAGGTTGAGTCTTTCAAAAGGGTGAGTGTTTAGAACCTTCATCTTGCTAGGGTTCCACTCTCTCCAAGTTTAAACAGAGTTGGCCAAAACTCCCTCGCAAAGACAAATAGATTATAGATTAGGATGTTTCAGTAAAAGCCAGAAAGCACATGTCTACCATTAACAGTAAACTACAGAAACAGAAATTTAGTACGGTATAAGCATTTACTGATGGGGTGCCAGCTAAAAAACAAACACACTGTACTACGGAGCAAAAGTATTCAAGTGCAACGTAAATCCTAAACTGTCCTAATCAATAATCTAAATTCCCTCTAGAGAAATATTTCACTGTAAATCAAAGGTTGAGCTTCTTGGCTAAAACGTGACAGCAAACTTTTACACTTGTTAAAGGAATTTTTTTTTATGACAATTGTAACAGCTGTATTGTTGGAGATGCAGTATGTTGAGGGGCTTTGTAGATACACATGGTAATAGTACATTGCACAGAACTACAATAATTATAAAAAGAAAAATAATTTTTACTGTGCTTCAAATTTACAGGTAAGTATTTAGATCTTGGATAGTTCTGGGGAATCCAGCAGGCTAGTGATTCCAACATTCATCACAACTGGCTTTGGAATAACTTAACATATTTATCTTCATAATCAATAAGCTTTTGGCATATTTTCCAGACTCTCCCCACATGATAAATAGGAAATATAGGGTTAAAGTGTGAAGACTGCAGGTTGATACAAAATGGGCGTGGTTTCCATAAAACAAGCCTAAAGACATTTAGAATATCACAGGGGTGTATATGAATATAGGAACTTGTTTGTGTAATTGTGATCTTGTGTGGATTCCTTATTTTTGTCTTTAGTTTTTGCTTTTTGATGCAATGAAGAATAAATGTTTTTTGTATATAATCATTGTACTCTGGATATTAATGTTATTATATGAAGAAAAAAGGTAGTTTTTTAGTTTATAATTTTATTAACAACAAAATTACATTCTTCTTTGTCAGACACATCATGTGAAGTTTGCTGTCAGTACAGCTTTTAAAAGCCATTTTTTGAAACGTGCCTCTTCACAATTTTTTCTAGGAAATGACAGGTGCCCTAGGAGCCCATATTTTAGGCAATACTTCTACTACAACATGCATTTTTTTTTTCAAAACAATTAAACTAAATTAAAAAGAGAAGCAGCTGAATTTTAAAGAAACCTACACATACTCTGATTTTACGCTCTAGCTCTAGATTTTAAGCCTTAATCCAAAGGCTTTTGGAATATATTATGGCGCCCTGTTAGCATGGTGAATTTTATTTTTTTGTATTTTCACCATTTGCTATTTCATAGTAAACATACATTTTCGGAGTATTGATCATAACAAAATCAATATTACCAGAGGTACGATATTGCACGCTCGCAGTTAGTAAACAAGGAATTAAACAGAACAACCCAGTTCATGACACCAAACATCGTCAATGTTCTATCAAAACACACCAGTAAGATCTGGATGCAGACACCAACTTCAGATCAAGCAATCCTTTTTACATCTGTTCTATCATAGAGTTTGGATGAAACTATTAAAGTCTGTACACCAGTAACCATGTCTGGTACAGTCTGTGTTCTCTTTCAGTGCTTTGGTTTGTGAAAAAAACAGCATCTAAAGAAAGTCAGAAATTGTGGTTCTTAGCCCTGAAACCTAGGAATGTCTGATGACACTACGGTGACACAGCCCTAGATGCAAAAGCAAGTTCAAAATGGCTTACAATAGTCGATACAGTGAGAGACTCCCATAGAAGAAGAATAAAAAATCCCGTTGATTTTCAGAGGTTTAACAGGCAACAACTCAGAGAACTACTACAGTGTGGTTGCGATACAGAGGGTGCAGTTAAACATGTAAGAGCAACAGGTATTAGAAGATGACCCAATAACTAAGCTGTGAATGTGACCAAAGGGACAGCAACAAAGAAAGCTGTAGGTTCCACAGGCTTAGTGTTTTAATAGACGTCTGAACACACCTCTGACAGTGTACCAAAGGTAATGTCTGGATTTTTATAAAGGAAAATTCCAACAGCTGAAGATGTTGCTGAGTGCTAGAGGGGGACTAGAGCCTTTTAGCAATCACAGAAGTAGAACAAATAAATGAATGAAAAAAAAACAGCACTTTTGCCTTTTCCTGCTTATTTTATCTTAAAATAGATTAACTTCATCTGCAAGATATCATATCAAATCTGATTTTGTTTTTGACTCGCTCCATAGAATTCTGTCTCTGCAATTGTCTTTAAAACACTACAGTCTCTGTGCTGCAGGAGTCTTTCAGGATTTGTTCCTTGTAGATTTTAGTAGATCCTTAGTGACAACTAAAAACCTCCAACACTAAACCTTGTGCAATCGAACAACAGTGTAGTTATGCTTAATAAGTCAACAACAAACATTTGAAACTTTTCAAAATGCAAATATTTATGGAAAATACTGTTTCGTCAAGGTGCCATTTTGTAACATCAGAGCTTGTCTATGAAATTGCAAGACCTTGGTATCGAAAAAAGTTTCTGACCCTGACATTTACCTCAGCGTACATAAACAGTTAATGGAGCCTAGGTGGAAGTTCAACTGAAGAAACTCATTGCTCTCCTACATCCACCTATGACACAGCCAATCAGCTTTGAACTACACCTCCACGAAAGCCAATCGGCATCCAAAGTTCATCTTAAAAGGCCTCAGATCTGAAACTTGTCTGCTCCTGTGCGCAGGTGGTGGTTGTGCTGTGTGACTTCATTCAGATTACTTTGTTTCAACCCACCTCCAGCCCCTCCTTCACCATCGTAGCTAAAGCTTCATCAGAGTGTCATTACTTCCGGACTCTTACTGCGTTCCCTGTCTCATCTCAACCGGTCCGACAGAAGGACGCCATGTTGAGCCTGGTTCTGCCAGAGGTTTCTTTCCAATGGGGAGCTTTTCCTCTCCACTGTCGCTTCTTGCTTGCTCATCATGGACAGGTTCTCTCAACCTGTGATATCCAAACTGGACTTCCATCTTCCAGGTCCCTGAGTGAAGCTCTAGTATATGCTCCACTGGATCTCCCCATAAAGCTCAGCGTACTGTGTCGCTAACAAGCAGTCTAATCTCCATTCCAACACCAGTTTCAGGCCTCGGAGGAAACAGCCCTATTCATTGCTCCTGTTCATGCATATCTATCAAAAATAAGCTCAATGTTTCCTGCCGAGGTCTGAGCGCCAAAGACAAAGTAATTGGGTAAAAACATTTCTTCTAATTGTCTTTTCTCTTCGTGTGAGTTTTTCAGATTGAAATAATTGAAGCCAGGTTTATTTAATTTTAACACATATTCAGGATTATTTTTAGACAACAAGCTTGTAAACAGCTACATAAAATTGGATTTTGGTTCCTAAAACACAGTGAAAACAGCTGAGTCGTGGGTAGACTGGGTAGTCCAACTTTGAATGAAGCACCCATGTTGATAGTTATTCTATCAACCAAATATATACATCATAATGTAAAAATCAGTCAATCCGTATTTCTAATTTTACATATCCGTTTTTAAGTGAAACATTTAAATATTTTACGTAAATATGCCTTTCTTTTTTTCCTGAAAATTATTGCACTCTGAAATGAAATCATATTACAAATTGTAGTAAAATAAAACAACACGGAATAATAGAATGGATTAAAAAACACATTCTGTATTGGATTAAAATATACTCTAAACATCTATTCATGAACACAGCCACCCTTTGCAGACACAACTCAGCATTCTTGTTGCTTTCTTTAAACAAAGAAATCAGATAATCTTCCAAAAATTATTTCTAAATTTGTGGAGTCTGGGGAATGTACTGGTCCCTCCATGTTTTTTAGCGTATCAACTGTTTTGTTTTGTTTTTCCCTGAGGCAGTGCTGTCACAGCTTGGACTTATATATTAGGTAAACATCTTGCT